GCCTACGACGGGACTTCAGGTAAATACATCACCTGCTGCCACACTCACAATCACCTATCTGTTTGGTTTGAGATATGTTGACACATTTTACATACTGGCCAAATAAATATACTGTATTTGCGTATCATTTCAGTAATCGACCTATTGATTACCAGTGCAATTCCAGAGCAATAAAACTCCAATAACCAATATTTTCTAATTAATATATATTTAGTATTTATGTCTTTATGCCTTCATATTGTCTTCCTTTTACTTACCTGTTGTTTCAACAAGCAGGAGATCTGTCTCAATCTTAAATGTAGATTTGAATTTATTTTAATGCAAATTCTAAATACATTTTATTCCATTTAATTTTAGTTCATTTCACATGTTTGAGAGTATTCTCTATGGTCTATGTTTTAGGGGTGTAACTTCTCACTATCTGTATATGTTAGTGACGCAAAAATATCTGTATTTGGATTGAACGGGAGGTGGACGTGGTTTATACCGGAAGACATTACACATTGTTGAGTCTTCTTCATTCTCTGCATTAAATTGTTTGCTACTAACATTTATTCATCTATTCAACTTTAACTGCAAACTAGGGTTGGTTAATGAACTCCAACCAAATTATATCAGTATACCGAGTAGCGATTCATGTTAAATCAATCGGTAAGAGCGCATCTGAGTAAGTTCTAAATAATCTAATATTTAAACCATGTACCTGAAAAATATTACTTTTTCTTATCTGTTCAGAGTACGTTATCTATGCCTATCCAAATGCTTAAAATAATAACAGTATTTCTATTCAGTTACACTCCTATTATTATTATAATAAATAAATATATATATATAATAATAATATGTTTTCTCAAAGCTTTCCAGAAACCTTTGAATGCGATCAATACTCTTTTGTTTCCTCAGGTATCTTCAAAGCTCCTGTTGCAGGTTATTATTATTTTACCTTCTTCTACCATGCTGGAGATAATTCTACATCAGGCCTGAGACTGATGAAGAGCGACAACCACATTGTTGAGGCCTTAGATGAGAATCCAACCACTGCTGATAATGCAGGAAATGCAGCATTCCTGCAGCTGAATGCAAACGATGAGGTGTACGTGCGCCTGCCTGCAGGCCGTCGTGTTTGGGCTTCTGGCAGCACAACCACCTTCAGTGGTTTTCTGGTCAGTGGAATGTGAGAATTCAATGACTCCACTTCACAGATCTCAGATGCCATCGACCGAAGTTTTTCCAACATTGTTCTGCTTTCGCTAGAATAGTCCACCGTTATATTACAATGTTTTTAATAAATGCTCATAATAAAGGAGTTTAGCCTGGACAGGGGTTGTAACCTCTTCCTGTGTATTTGCACAACAACGTGATATATATGCTTAAAGCCAAGAAAATGTCAAGACCAAGTAAAGTAAGGTTGAATAACATCTTGAGTGAAATAATGTACATCCTGTTGTTGGCTATATGTGTTGTGTCTAAGTAGTATAAAAACTGAGGGGAGACTGCCTCTCCTCAGTCATATCTGTGTGATGCTGACGATGGCTCTTGCTTGCAAACAATAAAGATCTACTGAGTATCTGAATATTGTGTCATCTGGTATTTCTGCACTAGACTAGAACTGATCTTTAAACTGTTGAAGTAAAAACATTGTTCGGGCTAAAAGCACTGCAGTCAGCATCAGGTTTGCTATAGTTACCTTCAATTGACAAACTCTATGAAAGTAGTTATGACTCTTTTCTATCAGAAACAAAGGAGGAATTCAGGTGACAGTCTACAGGAGGAGGTCGAGCGTTGGATGTTTTTTAAGAACAACATTGTTACCTTTTAAACACAAAGTAAGGCCTAATGTTCAGTTTTCCCATTTTCAATCGATCTAATGTCTTTTGCAATATAAATATTGAGCCACAGTCATTTCCTCCTAACTTAACCAGTGGTTGATTATTGTCAACCATGTCACGACAAATGTCCCCCCTTAAACTTAACAACAG